AATCCACCTAAGCCTAAGAGCTGGAGGATGCTGTGAGCTGTGATGTCACAGCACTCTACCAAGGGGCGACAAAGTGAGACTCTGTCTCTAAAAAAAAAAAAGAGAGAGAGAGAGACAGAGTCTCACTTTTATTGCTCTCAGTAGAATGCTGTGAAGTCATAGCTCACAGCAACCTCCAACTCCTGGGCTTAGGCAATTCTTTTGCCTCGGCCTCTCGAGTAGCTGGGACTACAGGCACCCACAACGCTCAGCTTTTTTTGTTGTTGTTGCAGTTTGGCTGGGGCTGGGTTCAAACCAGCCACCCTCGGTATATGGGGCTGGCACCCTATCCACTGAGCCACGGTGTGGCCCTAAAATTTTTGAGACGTAGTTTCACTTTGTCAGCATAGGCTAGATGACAATGATGTTATCATAGCTCATATAACCTCAAACTCCAGGACTCAAGCAATCCTTCCGCCTCAATCTTCCAAGTAGCTGAGACTACAGACACACACTACCACTCCTATCTAATTTTTCCTATTTCTAGCAGAGAAGGAGTCTCTCTCTTGCTCAGGCTGATTTCAAACTCCTGAGCTCAAATGATCCTCCTGCCTTGGCCTAACACAGCTCTATGATTATAAACATGAGCCAATGTGCCCAGACTAAACTGAATTTTTATAGCTTGGCTTAGGACACAAACCATTTAAATATTGCTACCACAGAATATAGCATTCTGACCAACAAGTTACAAATGACTTCTGGGAAATTCCAGCTCAGAGGTGGGCAATGAGAAGAATATTTAAGACAACTGTGGACCAGGTATAACAGGTCACACTTGTAATTTCACGAATTTAGGGGGCCAAGGCAGGAATATACCTAGAAGCCAGGAGTTTAAGACCAATCTGGGCAACAGACAATAGAACCTCTGTAAGTTGACCACCCAAGGGACCATATACCCAACTGGTCAACATATGGAGGTGGTCAACGTAAGGAAATAGGCCTACTGTACTGATATACACATGTGGTGCATGTCTGGTCTATGAAAATTAGGTCAAATTAAGAAGGCAGTCAATATATGAGACGGTCAACTGTGAAAGTTCTACTATATACATATTATACTACTATATACTATACACATACACTATATACTTATCTCTCCACAAAAATAAAAAATTAGCCAGACATGGCGGCACATGCCTGTAGTCCCAGCTACTTGCCAGGCTGAGGTGGGAAGATCAATTGAGCCTAGGTCTATGAAGCTGCAAGGTATGATAGTGCCACTGAACTCCAGCCTAGGTAGCAGGAAGAATCTCTGATTTTTGCATTTTTATTTTTAAAGAGAAGAGCAGGCTTGGAGCGGTGGCTCATGCCTATAATCTTAGCACTTTGTGAGGCCAAAATGGGTAGATTGCCTGAGCTCAGGAATTCAAGACCAGCCTGAGCAAGAGCGAGACACCTGTCTCTAAACATAGCCAGGCCCTGTGGCGGGCACTTGTAGTCCCAGCTACTTGGGAGGCTAAGTAAGAGAATCACTTGAGCCCAAGAATTTGAAGTTGCTGTGAGCTGTGATGCTACCGCACTCTAATAAGGGTGACAAAGTGAGACTATATCTCAAAAAAAAAAAAAGGCTCTGCACCCGTAGCACAGTGGTTACAGCACTAGCCACATACACAGAGGTTTGAACCCAGCCTAAACAATGACAACTGCAACAAAAAATAGCCAGGTGGGGTGGCAGGCACCTATAGTCCCAGC